CTGTGAGGAGAAGAGAAATATAACCTTTTTCTTCCCTTTCTTTCTTTCCATCTGTCTGTCTTGATTCAAGAGCCTTGCATATTTTAGAAAATCAAAAGCAAGAAGAGCAGGTTTTCATTTCATGCAGGTATAGTAGTTAAGGCAAAGCTAATCATAATCTACAATTCTAAGATATAAACCTGTGAGAGGCCAGCAGGTGGTATAATGGTTAAAGTGCTGGAATCCCACAAGGCTGACTGTGGTTCCAGTCCCAGAGCTGGTGAATTGAAACACCCGCTGGGTGTGTGTGTGTGCAAGCCCAAAATCCCAAAAGGAAAATGGAGAAGGGATTGTGGTATGGCCATCCTCCTATGGGGTGATTTCTCACTTTCTCTGTCTCTCTCTGTGTCTCTGGTGGGTGCACATGCCCCATAGCAAATATCTCTCTAAGAAAAGATATAAAGAAGGAAAGAAAGAGAAAGGAAGAAAGGAAGAAAGGAAGAAAGGAAGAAAGGAAGAAAGGAAGAAAGAAAGAAAGAAAGAAAGAAAGAAAGAAAGAAAGAAAGAAAGAAAGAAAGAAAGAAAGAAAGTCAATACCTGCCAATAATCCAGAATAACTGGCCTTTTCCTAAATATCAGATTACTTTGGGAACCGCATTAGTATTTCCAAAACTCCAAAATTAAAAAGTAATTAAATAAACCAAAGGTAGAAAGCCATAGGTAGTTGAAAACAAAAAAAAAGAACCCCATCTCCCCCAACAAAAAACAAGTGCAGGTGATTGTACTTTCACTGTGTGGCGATTCAGCATTCCCTACAGGCTTCCCCATCTGTTCTCAGCCTCAGGGGAAGGCAGGAGTGTAATCCTGTCACATTAGGGACGCTGCATGAAGTGCCAGCCTCAGTATCTCTGGCGGTCTGGTCTGCACCGTGTGGCCCAGATTACCAGGCCACAGTGGGACAGGAGCGTGGTCACCCCAGGCTGACATGCACCAACAGCTACCCTGGAGCTGTCACTTCAAGAACATGTAAGCCTCAAAGCCTTGGATACCATTTTCTTCTAAACATGCTTTGTGTTTCCACCCTGCTCAACCCCAGCCCAGAACCACATGCGGCTCGCAGGCCCGGCACTGTTCCCACAGCATATGGCGTGTTCGGATTGCTCCTTCCAGCAGCCACCCCCTCCCTCCCCCGCCTCCCCCAGCGGGGTGGAAACACATCGGGAGTTCAGATCTTGAGAGTACGCCAGCACTGCAGCTCTGCCTTCCCCACGCAACAGGAAGTACATGATGAATTTCTTTTGGGGGGAAGAAAGCAGAATTTTGCTGGTTGTTACAAATATACTTAGTTATTTTTGATACTAAAAAATGCACAGAAAGGAGACTTATATTTGGATTCAAACATATTACTTCTGAGTCTTCAAGATTTGTAGCACATACATTCCTTGAAATATGTGGAAATAATGTTTTGTTATACTGAAGTTAGAATTTGGGAATGTTATGGTATCCTAGAAGTTTCTTGGTGTAAACTATGAAGACCATCATTCGAGCTTTTTTTGATATTAATTTATGAAAAAAAAAGGGTTGTATTTGAAGAAATGTAAAAAAAAAGTTGTTACATTATTATTCCTATAGATGGAAGAAAAAAGCAAATGTAGACTAACAAATTCTTTTTTTTTAAGAGAGATTTTTGCTATAGGTTATGTGTGCTTACTGAAGAGACAGAAACAGACAGAAAGTGATAAATCACCACCCCCTCCTGCAGGGATGGCCATGCCGCAATCCCTTCTCCTTCAGTCTCCTCTCAGGATTTTGGGCATATATGCACGTAGGCCGGCATGAATTTCAAGCAGCCAGGGCCAGACGCCGCACTCAGCCACGTGGGAATCCAGTGATGTAACCGGTACGCCATCTGCTGCCCCCATATTTGTGATTCTTAATGTCGACTCTAATAATGACTTTTTCTATTCATAAACAAGAACTACTACTGGAGAGTTCCCTGCCAGGTACTTTTCCATCTCTTCACCTACCAAAAATCCTGAGGAAGAAAAATTATCCCCATATTACAGATCAAAGAACAGGCCCCGTTAAGTGGCTTAACCAAGACCACCTTGTAAGACATGGTTGAGCTGCAATTTAAATCTTTTCTTGTACATCCTTATTAAGATGATATTATCCTGTCCAAGGGCAGCCAACACAATTCAAGTGGTTACAACATCTCTTACCCCACTCTGCACAGAACGCTGGTTAATTATTAGCTTATCACCTGATGAAAGGTTTCTTACTCTGAGGGTTCATGAAATAAAAAATATGGATGTGAAATAAAACAAAAGTTACTATAAAAACACTGAAAAAATTACTGGAAACTGTTTCTGTATGCCCTCTGTCTTCTCGAAATACTGTAAGCACAGAGTTGCCATCTACCTAACTGCTTTCTGTCACTGTCTACCAAGGCCAGGTCTCAGAGGACAAGAGGGAGGCCACATCAAAAACTAAAACCAGAAAAGCTATTTACAGCCCAGCAGAAAGAGCACCAGCCCGTGGTCTTGTCTGGGAGCTGACTCCCTAACTGAACCTTTGCCACGGGCATAGAGACTCATGGTACTCTGCCAGAAGATGACCTCCCAGAGCAGTGTTCAGAGTTCTTCCCTGGCCTACGACAGCGTCAATCCACATTGCGGCCAACTCACCGTTACTGGACGACCTACCGGTCACACATCCAACTGAAAGGACCTCTCTGCGTAGGGAGCTGAAGTTCTTTCCCTCTGCGATACAGACCAGGCCACCAAACTATGTCCTTAAAACAGGTTTCATGAATGTCTAAGAATATCAGCAAAATGGCTGAAAGTCCCTACACCCTGGTGAGCTGATCCCTTCAAGGGCAGACTGGACAAATATTTCTAGAAGTCCATAAGAACTAAAGTTTGTTACTGAATTTGTGGTGATTTAGAACCATTATTCAAATATATCCTCAGAGGCTGACAGGAGATGAAATTAGATACCTCCCACAATTGAACAAATTTCTTTTTCTATTATCTTTCATGGAAGGGGCAAAGGGGCTTTTAATTGTACGGTGATTCATTTCCTTGGCTGAAAAAATACCTGCATTATGTGAGTTTACCCAGGGGTGAGTAAGGATAAAAGATGGGAATGAACACACAGGAGTGGATTAGGTATATGTCATCTCTTATAACAAAATAACATACGACATGATCCAAAAATGCAAAATGATGAAAAAGATACAACTTTAAAAAATATCTTTTCAAATGTTTGTATAAGTGGGCCCAGCCCTGGTGGCAGAGGCAGTAGGGGCACTGCCGCATGATGCTAGAGACATACTGGAAAGCTTCGTGTTTGAGTTTCTGGTCTGCTTAGATATTCTGGGCACATCTGTGGGTCTATCTGTGATGCTGGCTGGCTGCAGGACTTGAGGAAGGACTGCAGCATGAAAACCCTATGAGGGAATGCCTATCTGTCTCTTTCTCTCTCTCTCATGAAGGAAAAGTAATAGACTTTAAATTTTAAAAAATTTAAATTAAAAAAAATGGTTTTACAATTTCAAGACACACACACTGACACGTCACACAATTACTAGCAACAGTGAACACTTCCAGTGCTTGATATGATGCACAGGAGTTTCCCAGGCCATGTGTGTACACTAACAGAATGTTCTGGAACTTGCCTTTCTCCATTTCTTGTTTGTGTACCTCTCCCTGCTTCCTGCACTTGCTCTCTTCCACAGCTGCAGAGTACAACGAGTGGTGCTGCCGTGAATCCCTCGCGTGTGCCTGCACAGGCTCACCGGCAGGGAACGTTTCTACGGGTGGAATGGCTACGAACAGGCTATGAGCTCTTGGGATGCTAACTGGTAATAAGTAGGTGAGCACCGTGCAAAGCAGCTGCACTAAGGTCTCCTACCACTACAGAATCCTGGAAAGCCAGGTCCCCACACTTATCATCCGGGGAGCACTGAGCAATTAGTCTTTTGCCAACCTGAAAAAATGGATCGGCAGGTATCCAGGGTTGGGGGAATGGAGGAACAAATAGGCAGAGCTCAGAGGATGTTAGGGCGCTGAAAATACTCTGTATGAAAAGGAATAGTAATTCTAGGTCAGAGAGATGAAAATAATTTCCCAATTTGTCATGTATGTGTATTTTGATACAAATACATATATATTAGATGTGGAAAAAAGTTACAAAACCTTAATTTAGCATATCCTGCCTATGTTACTACAACTTCTGGTTGGTGGCATGCTCAGAGAGGCTTTCTTCATCCCAAAGGAATAAAAACATTCTACTGCTTTTGATGCCTACGTTTATAGTTTTACCTTTACATTTTCCAAACCGTTAGCCAGTTGTCTGCTTACCCTCTGTTGACTAATCCACTCCCCATGCTCTGAAATGTCACTTCCAGCAAATGCTAATTTTCCGCATGTCCTTGAAGACTCGCGATATCTTCATATTGAATATATTTTTTAGAACAAATTCAATTCTTTTTTTAAAAAATAATGATTTTATCTAACATTATTCATTTAGTTATTTTATTTTGACCAGAGAGGGACAGAGTGAGAGCCAGAGCAAGAGCAAGAGTGAGAGAGAGGGAAAGTGAGAAAGCAAGCCTGGGATTTGAACCATGCTTGGCCATGTGGGAGGTCTGGGATTTGAACCATGCTTGGCCATGTGGGAGCCCAGCGCCCTAAACCATCATGCCAACCTACCGGTCTCCATACTGAATATATTTTTAAAGTAATATATTTCTATTACTTAACAAGTAAACAGTGAACAATTATTTCCATGCATCAGTAGTTAGAAAGTGATTAGCTGAATTTTTCTAGTTAATCTTGTCTTTCTAGGCAAAATTTAGAATATGTTTTCTTTTAGTGCATGGTCTTAGGTGAGGGGCTGCCAGAATTTTCTACTTATATATGTTAGAGAATTTCTTCGCCTTCCAACATTGGCAGTTAATTGAGGCTAATGTTGGCATGCATCTCTTCCCTATTGTGTAGCCATTTAAAATGACTTACCTCTATAGCATGAGTCTCGACACTGATTACAAAAACTTGACCTCCGGAAGCTGCCCACAGTGTGTCTTCCATCATCAGTAGACTTCTAACTGGTAGGACGCCTAATTTGATCACTTTCTGAGGCTCGGAATTCCAGGATCCATCTTAAAAGAAAACAACTTACTTTAAATTGTGGTCATTCAAGCTCAGTTACCTGATCGCAGGACAGGGAAAAAGTGTCATGGCTTGCTTTTATGTAATAGACAAAATACCATGTATGCTTAAACTTAATCCAGGGAGTGTCTGAGGTTCTGAGAATGAATGTTGTCTCAAGAAGGCAGTCTGACAGGATCAACAGCAGGGAGCACCGCAGTCAATGGACCTTTGGGTCCCAGCCTGGCCACTGGGCATGTGTCCTGGACAAGTTATTCTTTCACCCTGAAACTCAGTTTCCTTATCTGTGAAAGAGGGGCAATACTACCACTGGCCTCAAAGATTATTTCAAGAATGAAAAATGTGCATGCAATGTGCACACCAGCCATGTGTACACTCACTCATGAAGGCACGCACTTGTACAAACACGAACACACACCCACCCTCACACTCACATGTACATATGTACATATGCATGGGCCTTCTCATCTGGTACTCAGAGCCCCTTAAAGCACCGCCGCTTCCACTTTCGATGGGGATACAAAGGATCACAGTATAAATACAAATTTGCCTGATAGTCACATGCCTCCGAGGGAGTGGGGTGGCATGAGATCACATGGTTTCTGAATGAGAGGGCCAAGTTCTCCCCTGCACCCGCCGTGTATGTGTCCTCAGACGGCTGTCCCGTATGGTTCCGTGCTGGCCTACTGATAGCGCAATTCCTCTGAAACAAGAACTCGAAGATCAAAGAGGGGATAACCTACTTCAGGTGTTTCACTTTCGCTAAGAATTAACTTCCAACAACTGAACTTTGTTTTTTGAGCACCTAAGGAGTTATCTCCCTAGATAATGTGTACATGTGTCTCCCACAAAATTTTCTCAGTGGTGATAATAGTGTAATGTCAGTTACTGGGACATTTGTGAGCTTTAGACAATGAGCTATCTCTCTCCCAGGACAACATCCACATGGGTTTTCACCCTAGGCCAGGTCTTCATACTGTAGCCAGATTCCACATACTTTTGTGACATTCTGAACCAACATTTAAAAATCTAGAAACTTCCTAAAGACTTACCTCTATAGCATGAGTCTCGACACTGATTACTCTCCTAAAGAGTTCCAAATTTCCAAGTCCCTTAAAAAGGCAAAGGCCCAGCCTAGACACAGTGGCAGTGGAGCAGGCAGTGTGTGAAGATACAGCTCCATGCCACACCCAGGTTTGGAGGCCAGGCCAGTCTCAGTACGCTGGGGATGCCTGCATGTGCCCATGGACATGGCTGGCTGGGAGGCTGGGGGAGGATCATGGCATGGTAAGACTCTGTTATAAGGACCTGTCTGTATGTTTGTCTCTCTTTCTTTCTCTCATAAAAGAAATAAACTTAAAAAAGTAGTTAAAAAAAATTAAAGGCCTGGCAATAGTGATGGCTGAAAAATATCTTCCTCCCTATTTTGGAAAGGCTGTAGTCAGTTCTCATCACCAAGAACAAAACAAGCCATGTAACCAAGCTCGATCCACTTCAGGTTCTGTCATACTGGCCTGCGTGCCGATGCTTGGTGAACAGGATGTTTAAAAACACTTGACAGGTCTCCTGGATCCAAGGCAATGAAGCTACGTCACAGACCATGCAGACACACCCAACAACACAAAGGACACAGCCACACAGGATCCAGCCAAAGAGAGTGACGCGGGGTACACCACCTTAACGTGATTTGTCACTGAAGTCATATACGTGGAACAGAGAAAACGAGCCAGCCAGGAAAGAGGTTCAAAAGATAATCACCTCATCAGTCCGAGAAAAGGAAGTGGATCATAAACACAGCTACATAAAACAGCGCCAGAGAAATGAGAAAAACAGAAAAAAGAAACCAGATTATAGAAAAATCCCTCAACATATACATTCCTCTATGAAGCTTCATTAAAGAGAAAAAGTAAAAAAAAAAAAAAACCTAAAAAACACAAGGAATGAGACAGTATGTCAGTGAACATATGGAAGAGGTTTCTTTTTTAAACATGAGGCTGTTCTAATTAAAGGCCTGTAAACTTCCATCTGAATTATACTAATCTAACTTAGGGAAACTGCACCAGGAAGCATTTAAAAGCCCAAATAAACTAACAGCAACGGGGAAAAAAATGAACATAAGCATCCAAAATTAGCTTTGGAAACTTGTTAGGTTGGACTAAAATTATGATCATTTCAAACTTTCAAATTGTTGGTAACTTCCATGAGTTTAGTCCCTATCAGAGCACCAGAAAACAAACAAGAACAATGAAAAAAATAAGACCAGGGCTAGCAAAACTGTGATGCTAAAGTCTGACAAAGGTGACGGGGAAAAGACCACCACAGAGCCACTTCAGTGGTCAACGTTTACATAAAACCGTCCACAAAGAAACGGAATCATGAGTTACACGGGGAGAGTGAAGTTCACGCAGGAGGCCAGGCTAGGCCTGGGGCACCTGCCGGTGGATGGAAGGCCACTAGACACCACCAGGGAACCAGGGACCAGGGGAGAGGGAAAGCGGAGTGCCCCAAACAAGGCGTCAGACGGGAGAGGTCGGGAGTGAGGTAGAAACATACCTTCCGCATTTACTCCACCAACTGCATGTCAGGGCAGAGGAGGACTAAGACCATGGGTGCTACCCACTGGGAGGGAGCTAGGCGGTGAGTGAGAACGCAGGGCCTCACTGAACGCAAAACAGGCGAGGGAGAGGAGGCCGTCCCTATGGGGCAGGTCAGAGAATGCCTTCCAAGGAGGTGATGTCAAAGGTCAAAGACAAGGGTGAACTGACATCCCAGGTTAAGGAAAGAGCCTCTGAGAGCATCCACGGAGGGGTGACTACCTGGGTGTGAGCCACAGCAGGAGGCTTGCATGCCCCTGAGCAGAGCGCTGGGAGGAGGGGCAGAGGTTTAGAGGATCGAATCCTTCAAGAACCAGAAGAGAGAACTGGGATTTTTATGCTAAAGATACTGGGAATTCACTGGACAATTTTAAGCAGGGGAGGGCAAAGGCCTTTCTCACAATTTGAAAGGCTTGCTAGTGAGTATTTGGGAAATGAACTGGTCGGAGCACAAGGCAGCAATGTGGAGGCCACTCAGTATCCCAGGCTGGAGGCACAGCAGCTTGGAGCAGGATGGTAACAATGGAGGTATGGACAGAGTCAGCTGGTGGGTGGGTTATGGGAGGGGGAGAAGGGAAGGTACAGACAAGAATTCAGATGGCCAAGTAGCACAATGGTGCCACTACTGAGACGGGAAGGATGGCATGAAGAGCAGCTCTGAGTGGAGAGAAATACCTACGTGTTCGATTTTGGAGATGGTGGTTTTGAGATTCTACTAGGATATTCAGAGGGGTGTCAAAAGGGAGTTGGACTAGGGAGTGTGGAGTATAAGGCCGGTTGTGGCTAGTGCATGAACCTGGGGGTCATGGTGTCTCAGGGCTGAGGTTGGACGAGTATCTCCAAGATGAAAGGGTGGGGTCCGGCTCGAGTGTGGCACTTCTGTGGCACGAGTGACAGGAACCAGGAAAGGAGACTCGGCTAATATCAGGGAACAAAGAGAGTGCCTCGAAACCGGAGTTTCCCTGAGGTGGTGACAGTAAAATTCATAAAAAGAAGAGCTGCTAAGACAAATACTGTGGTTCTAGAAGGCTGATGGAAACTGAAGAAGAACATCTGGATGGCAGACTGCCCCCAAGAGATGATACAGGGACAGGTGGGACCAGACCAGGGAGCTGGCAGGTCTGGTGGTGCAGAGCACAGAGAAGCTGCACCACCCTGGGGATAGGGGCCCAGCAGTGGGCTGGAGGCCCAAGCAACTCTCCTTTTCAGCACCAGAGCCCAGCGTAGTAGTTAAACATGCAACGGAGAGGGCTGCAGGAACTGGGAGAGCCACACGGGGAGGACCGACCCAGGGCATCTGACGAAGGAGGAGGGGAGTGGCATGTGTCTAGGAAGCCCATCCCCGGGTCACTGCCGTGTGCATGAGGCAAGCCTGCCCTGGCGGGCTGCGATGTTCCCCTGCAAAGTAGACAGAAGCTGAAGGGCTTTGAGGGAGGCAGGGAGTGCATGACGGTGGCAGAAGCTGGACAGCAGTGGCAGGTCTGTGTGCAAGTGTCATTCTGTGGAATACACAGGAGAGGCGTGGGGTGGCTGACTTTTAAAGCCACATCACGTGTTCACACCTTGTTTGGGAAGAAAGTTACACAGGCCAAAAGACAACGGGCGAGAAATCTAAGGGGAGTATGATCCTGAGACAGGACGCACAGCTCAGAGTAAACATCCAGAGGACAGTCATGGTCCTGCCGGAACCCAGTTACCTTCGGCTTTGGTGTAGCAGGCCACCGTCCCGTTCACAAGGCCGGCATACAGGCTCTGAGATGTGCATGCTAAGCTCATGACCGTGGACTTCTCGGGAGTGAAAAAGTGCTGGAGTCTCACTTTCTTGGAGCCTTGGCTGCTTTTATAAATAGAAATGCTTTAAAAGAAAAATGCAAACTAATAATTATATTTGCTTATTGTGGAAAGAGGGTGACTATTAACATTAGTGTGTAACATTCCGTTAGTTCCTCCCTGCCCTTGCCCTTCCTTCTCCACTCTTAGACTCAGCATATTTTGAAAATATTTGCAACTGCTTTGATTTCTTTTATTTTAAAAGGAAAATTTTGGTTTAAAAAGAAATTAGGGGGCTGGCAGGTAGCGTGGTAGTTAAGGCCACAGGACTCCCACATGGCTGACCGCAGTTCGAGTCCCAGACCTAGCGGCTTGCTCTCTTACTTTCTCTCTCTCTCACTCTGTCCCTCTCTGGTCAAATTAAAATAAATAAATAAAATTAAGTAAATATAACTTTTAAAAAAAAAAGGAAAAGCAATTAGATTTCCCTATGTATCTTGGACTCTTACATCAGGAAGATCATTTTGACTTTCTTTAAATGATGTCAGTGTTCTATGATTACAATGGAGGATATTTTATTCCCAAATATACAAAGTGAGGTACTTTTTAAAAACACGAACCAAAACGAAACACTGCAGACCTCAAATCTTCATCCTTTAAAAATATGATCATTTGTGTTTGGAAATTTCCTAGAATAATCCCCGCGGGCTTTACTCACTTGTTAGTTGACAATGTGAGGCTCCTGCCCTTCTCCACTGATCCCCTCTTACTACTCACACTGCTCCTGACTTGGAAGTCAGTGACTCTTGCCAGGATCGGCTCCTGGTGGCCGGATTTCTACGGACACAGTGGGCTTTGGTAACACAGTGGATGGGCCTCTACCTTCCTTCTTCCATCCCTAAGCAGATGGTGGGGATGTCAGAAGCTCTCGTGGCTGTGGGTTCAGGGTCTGAGACTGCGTCGGGCTCTCGGGGCTTCTCCTTGACGGGAACGTACACCATGCACAGGATGCGCGACTCCACATTGAAGCACTCGATGACCTTGGGGTTGGAATTTTGAAAGGAGACGATGGCAATCTGACCCATTTGATTGGTACAACTTCCGATCTGAACCAGGGAGTTAAGAGAGACAAATCGACTTACAGAAAGGCGACGACAAACATCCACTTTTGTATGAGAATTGACACACTTAGAAAAATAAATCACAAGATATTCAAATAAACTGGTAAGAGTACCTTTTCCATTTTAAAACAGTTTTATTAGGTTATATAAAAGTTTTTAAAATAAGAGCGTAACTTTAAAAAGTCACATTTCTATGTTTTAAAACTAGCCTATAGGACCAGCAGCTGGCATGGAGGTTAAGGTGCTGGATCCCACATAACCAGCTGTGTGGTATGAGTCCCAGACCTGGCAGCTTGAAAATTACAACCGGCCCGGACAGCAGATGGCATAACGCCGATGTTGGTTATGTCCCACATAGTCAACTGTGGTTCAAGTCCGAGATCCGGCGGCATGGGACTCACTCTGGCTGGGCACATAGGCATGGACAGCCAGGATCCCGAGAGCAGATTGGAGAAGGGTCTGCAGTATGGCAGACTCTTCATCCTTGGCGGGGGGAGGGGGGAATGATGACTTCTCGCTTTCTGTCTCTCTGTCTCTGCCTGTCTCTCTGGTAAGCACACATGCCCTATAGCAAAAACCTCTCTTAAAAAAAAAAATGAAAGAAAATTACACCAGGCATGTGTGCATGTGTGCCCAAAATCCCAAGAGGAGACTCTTGGAGGAGAAGGGACTGCCATGTGGCCATCCTTTCTGGGGCGAGGGGATTTTTCACTTTTTCTCTCTCTTTTTTTTTTTGGTCTGACTCTCTCTGGTGAACACACATACCCTATAACAAAAACTAAGAAAAAAACAAAACCCTATAAATGGTAAAGGACTATTCATACATATTTTAACGTCCTAGAAAGTAGATTGATAGAAATTTTAAGTAACAACGTTTCACAGAACGTAGACATGAGAAGTCTTTCAAATGAGAAAACATTAGTAACAACGCAACCCCAAGTGGATCATTCAAATTTACCATACATGGTGCTGTGTTGCAGCAACAATGTTTGTGAACTTCCTGCATATTTGAATCTTTACACTGAGAACGCTTAGCATGGCCAATTTCCATATTTACACTTAAATTGACTTGTTTAAGTGGCATAGAGTCTGATCCTTGTTAACAGAAAGGAATGAACAGGAAACAGAGTTTGATTGTTAAGACACTGGTTGCTTGAGGGCGCTACTATTCATTGACTCTTTTTCTTTTCCACAAATTTTGAAAATGTTCCTCTCCTCCCCCGTATTCTTCCTGTATGTGTCCTATGTTCCAAATAAACATCCTACCCCAACCCTTTCAAAGGAAAGATGGCAAGTTACCAAGCCCCTGTACCGGCCTACAGGGAGTGGGGGATGTGTCCAGGAGACGGGAGGAAGCCTCAACAATTACAGGTCCACCTGGATGGGAAGCAGCAGCACTCGCTCTTTTACATTCATGAGAATGTATGTGTGTTTACAAGAGAGGAAGGCAGAGGGAGGGACAGGGGAGAGAGGGAGAGTGGGAAAGTGAGCGAGCGAGAGACTGAGGTAAAATGAGCACCCTCCACAGGGTTTGGTCACCCCCCTCCGTCCATCCTCCTGTCTGTTGGATCCCACGCACTCGTGGGCATGTGTGGAGGGTTCCAAGAAGATCAGGCCCTGGGATCGAACTCCTGTCACCACGTGGGATCCAGTTTCTCATGAGCCGTGCTCTATCGCTATGCCACTGGGGTGATCCAACAGTTCTCTCTTTTTTTAAAAAGACAATTAGTTTATTTAACTTTGTTTATTTTAATTTGACCAGAGAGGGAGACAGA